ATGTGCTTCTAAATGTGTTCATATCTGCTGTAAACTTGAACGTTTTAACACGGGAGTTTATAGGGACTGACTCACTTTTGGAGCCAGCTGCAAAGACCCAAAATAGAAAAGGGCATTCACAGCACACATTTTCTTAATCTGACTCCCAGAGTGGATGCATTCAAACCGAGCACGCTCGTGTTTAAACCGCTATGCAGACCAGATGGTAAAGAGACAAAACATAATTGAATCAGCTGCTCGAAGGACCCTAAATTGTAAAGGTCGAGTGTACAAGGGTGCAGACATGCCATCTGATAGCCAACAGCTGCTCAGGGTTAAGAAGCACAGCTTCAGAAAATAAACCAAAGTCTGGTTTTAGACTTGGTTTATTTATAACGACATCTCTTCCTACACAGTGTGGAAAAACACAATTTAAACTGCTGATATCTATTTTTTTCACCTACACTGAAGTAAAATAAAGAGTCTTCAACCAGCTTTGTTTCAACACCCATTGTGTTCTTCAATCCCAAAGCAAATGCCACAGTTCTATTAATGTCGCCGCTTATGTAATGTGGAAAATTCGTAGTTGTAAATCAAATCAACAGTCTACAGGGCAGGGGGCCATTGCACATGAATGAGAGAAAGCCTGAATTGTAGCTATCTATAGTACGCGTGATGAGTGTGTGAGGGAGTCGGATAACAAGAGGTTTTAGGTGAGAGGGTGATGTCATCGAGGAGATTAAGCCCAGAAAAAAAAGCGAAGCAAGGAATCATTTATTTGTTTAAAATATCGTAAACAAAACTGGCTCATATTTGCTAGAAAGTGCTGAAACGATGGATATTTATTACACTACTTTTTATAATAATTTTATATTTGGATCTAAAGCTTTCTGTTGTGCATCCTGATGGTTGGGTGAAAGATGTCGGATCTGTTTCTGATGAACTTCTCGTTACGTGAGGCCATTTGTAAGCAGTTCTTGTAGTGTGACTGTATATGAAAGGTGGCTGTTGAGTCTGGCTCTGAAAAGTTTTAAAACTGCATTTTTATTCATGGCCATCAGGGTGCGACTCCTCCAGCTGTAAATAGAAGTCAGATTATATAAAAGTCTGTGAGAAAATGATCATGATCCTCTCTTATTTATGACCTCAATAATTGTGTTTAAAAAATCGATTTTCTCCGATTCAAATCGATTTTAGTTTGGAAAAATGCAATATCGATTCATTCAATCCTGAATTGATTTTTGAATATAAATGTATTTTGCGAGAAATGCCAGCATCTCATGTTAAAGCTCACAAAACTACAA